GCGGGCGGGCAGGCGGGCGAGCCGCCGTGATCCGTGTGGCGGTGCTGATACCTCGTTTGGGGCCTAGTTCTGCAGTTATCCCAGCGTACGTTTGCATTTAATTAGCTGGTCATACATGATACGGAGTGCCCTCGGGATTCGTGTTGATAAGGTTTTGTTAGAAATGCCAAAAAAAAAAAAAAAGTGTGTAGGAATTGAGGCCAGGGTGGGTTTGCCGAACGGCAGGGAGGGAATAAAGTCAAGATCTGCTGCCACGCATGTGTGCACAGAACTGGCAAATCTGTGCTGAATTTTAGCTATGTCCTTTCATGGCTCAGGATGGGATTACTCTAGCCTGAGCTTCCCAGGAAATAAAAATTGCTCCTCAGGGATTGTTGTTGGGGTTTGCCTCATGTACCTGTAGAGGAAGGAAAGAAAAAAGTGTAACTGTTGAACGGGGTTAAAAGTTGGTGTGCATGGAAGGCAGGAGATGGAGGAGAAAGGGGAATGTGCATAAGAGAGAAACAGTCTATGAGTCCCAAGTATACATACTTGACATGATGGAAAATACCAAGAACAGGCTGTAAGTATGACCTGAATAGAAAGCAAAAGCAAGCCAGATCTGTGCTTGCGCTTCGTACATGAAGCCACAACTAATAGATCGTATCGGCTTGAGAATTTCCACAACTGACGGAAATTACGTACAACAGGTTCCTACATGTCAAAGTAGGATTGTTTATGAAAGAGCTAAGTAATCTCCAGAATCCCCTCCGTCAAAACACGTCTCTACAGTTTTTATTGTTTCTTTCACTATTTTCTTGGGGCATTTTCTTCAATTTTATCAAAAAGAAAGAAAAAAGAAATCCCAGGCTGTGCTAGAGTCCCATCCTTCACAGCTCTTAAGTAGCGAGTCGACTTCAGCTTTGCTTCTGTTGGAGGATGATGGAGCATATTTCATCCCAGAGCTTCCTGAAATCTTCCTCAAATTGCTTCTCCCATGGGCTGAGACTGGACTTGGGAGAAGGGTTGCATTTCCCTGTCCCCTCGTCCGCTGCTTTTTTGATATGCCTGAAGATTGCTAAGGAAGCAGCAGCCTGACTTCATTGCAAAAGCAATATTAAGACACAAAAAAGGACGTCAGCCTGGGGTAGAAGATTTAGAAACAGAAAGGAGAGACTGGCCAGATGATGGTAGAGGATTGTAAAATCTATAAATATTTCCTCTCCAGAATCTGATGGCTATTGAGTCTCAACAGCCCATCGCCACAGAGCAGCAGCAGCTGTGAACTCCAGTGGCAAAAAAGTCATGAATCTTGTTAATAAATGACATGTGGGAGACAGTATGGCTCTCCGTAATTGAGCTGCTTTTCTTGTAAAAAATTGCTCTAAAATATAGAGGTCATAGCATTAAAAATAGTGAAAGAGAACTAAAGCTTCAGGTACAAAGTTATGAAAAAACCTAGCAAATACCAAGAAGAAGAAGATTGTCTGCAATTTTAACTACTGCCCATGATGTGGTTTATATGTATACATACACATACGTATTTCCTCCCAGGTCCCTTGGTTCATCAGTGCACGTTATTCAAGCTAATGGTTTACTTACATTGGAAAATTATTTTAGTAGCAAACAAATCCGTTCTGTCTTTTTATGCTTCATTTTCCCTACTGAGTTTGCATTTTTATTATAGGGAGGCTTTGGCAGTGATCATGTTTTAATAATTCCCACTGCTTCACCTTCCCCCAGCTGCTTGGTTGTGTTCCCACACTGTTTTCTCGCTGTCTTTCAGTGTTTGTGAGATGACACAAGGGACTGGATCACTGATTTAAAAGAAAGAAAATTAATTCTACCTCAGATCAATTCACTCCTTTGCTTCACAGTGCAGCCCTTTAAGCACTGGTGGGAAGACAGCTGAAGGGGTGATGCACAGATGAAAATGAGTACCCTGGCCCCTGTATCATGAAATCATGGCTTGAGCTTCATTAGGATCTTCACTCCAAATCAGAAATGAAAGCTTGTGTCAGTGTTTTAGGGACATACTTAGTTCCAGTTTCCTGAGTGAAGATTTAGAAGTTCTAAAGCTAAATGACATTTTTTACTGAAAAATACAGTGTTAAGCAGGAGTCCAGGGAGAGGTGGGGTTGCTTGGGCATTATCAAAAATACTGCAGCCAATCCCCAGTGGAGATAATGAATAGTATTGGCACTGCTCAAATGAAAGTACCTGTGTAGGTTTCTGTGTGTGTATTAAAAGAGACTCAGGAAAGGAGAAAAGTTTATAAAGAATTTGAATTTGAAACTCACTGTTCAGGTGAGGTAGGTCTGCCCCCCCGAAAACATCTGAAAAGTAACATTTCAAAATCAGCCTGACTCCTGTCTCTTCCTCCTCTGCTCTCTTCATTCTGCTGTCCCCTGGGCTTAGGGATATTTTTCCCTGGGGCTTTTCGAGGCACTCTGGCAGATCTTCATGTTCTTCAGGCAGTTCTGTGTCTGCAGCTAATAAACACATATATTTTCTCCAACTCTTCTGGTTTTTTGTATTCTGCTGGGTTTTTTTCGAGTTTCTTTTACTTGTTGCTGTCTTTTACAGATCTCTTGTTTCTGTGTTCTCTAACCTTTCCTAGTTTATTTTGTCTTTCATCCCTGGAAGACTGAACAAACATAGATAGGAATACTTTGCTGTACCGCCTATCTTTACTCCTCTACTTTGTGACCTGTTATCTCTTCTTATTCTCCCAGTCCTCTTTCAACTTCACTCAGTGTGCAAACTTTACTATAAGATATTATTTTTAACCTTTATTGACTAGTCTTAGTCCCCTTAGTGTGTGGTATAAAGAGAGGTAGTTTCACTTTCCCTCTCCCTCCCATTTCCTTTGTGTTGGATCTGGTGATCTTATGGCTCGTGCAAGGTGAAATGAGTCACTGAGGTGATCCAAAAGAAAAAGAACAAAATTAAAAAAAACCCTCAGAATTGAAATGATTATATATTCACCTACATTATCAAGAGATTTGGTGTAAGGGTTTTTGAGGTGGGAATGCAACTGACCTTCCAGCAGTCTGAAATTGCATCAAACATGATGTAACATCACCAGTTTTATCTCTTGCTCCTAGTCCTTCTGTTCATTTATCCAGTCCCTTTGCTCTGTCTTCCCTCTAGTCTATGATCCCATGATCCTCTTTTTGGTAACAGTGCCAGCTGAAGTATTGCCTTCTTCTATTCATTTTTCCCCGTTACTTTAGTTTTTGTTGGGTCATGTGCTGAAAAGTAAAGAATATCAGTCAGATTCCTGTCCAGTTCACTGCATGATTGCCCAGACATTCATTGTAGTACAGCAGGGGTTGTGTCAAGATGGCAGGAGGAGTAGAGAGCAGTAGTAGAGTCTGTTTAGACCAACTGCATGAATACATGGGTGAAGACAGCCTAAGTGTTTCTTCTCCTACCTTTTTCTGTTTTTCTCTTCTTCCCCTTCTGACCATTTTCCTCCAGTCCCTTTCTTCTATGTCCATCCTGTTCTGCCATATGAAACCACACAGTTTCTGCAGTGCTTGTTCTGTAGAACACTCCTGTCTATGCTATGGCACACCACCAGTCTTTATCTCTTATACCTTGTGTTCTTCTTCTTGCACTCACTGAATTGCATGCCTTCATTAAACTGAGATCTTCTCTTGTGGAAATTTAGTTTTGTTCATTAATCAGTGTCAGAAGAAGTTGTAGGGCTGTTCTGGACACTCGATAAACTCAGCTCCGAACTTGAAGAGACACAGCTAAGGAAAATTTTAAAAGCTAACCATGATACCACTGGTCTAATTCACAGAGGTCATCTCAGTAAACCAGCTAGAAAAGGAGAGGTTGCTCATCGTTTTTTGGCTTCGTGATTGGCCTCTGAAATTAAATATCCAGCTAGTGTGAAAAATTCTTGGAAAGTCATGTCCTATATTTTCTAAGGTTAGAAAAACAAATCTGCAACTGTGTACATCTAATAGACCACAAAATGGAGGAAGCTGAGCCAATCTAAAATTACTCCTGAGTCGCAGCACGCAAGGGTGGAGCAACAACAATTCGTGTCTTACAAAGAAAGGCTTATAGCATGTTGCTGGCTACAGTGGATCAGAGACATGATAAACCAGTATGTGGGTATTCAAACAAGTCATGAATAGAAGACAGAGGACGGGGGTGACTTCTCTGCCTTCACATTCTGGTAAAAGACTTCCTAGTAACTAGTTTATCCTGATTTTCTATTCAGAAGAGCACACAAGATGTCCTAATCCTAACACGATCTCATTCATTAATTATAATGACGAAATAGCACTTAATTTCTAAGTGGTGTTTATGCATTCCTTTTTCATCCATAGAATTAAATATCCTTTACAATGCCTCTTGCCCCTTTAATGATCAACAACTCTCTTTAAAGCTCTTTACATGTCTTCTTTCGAGGTTAACTGAATGTGTTGTCTACTGCCACAGCCTTGTTTTGGGCACAGCCTCGTTTTCCTCCTTGATTGTCACAACAATCTACAAAGTTGTGGATGTCTACAAGTCACTGGAAGTGCTGACCCAAGCTGAGTATGCCTTCCTCCTGCCCAAATCTCAGCCCTTCTGTTCCACCTTAACCTCCCTTGACCTCTCACTATTGTCTGACAGTGCAAGTCATTCCATCGTTTCTAAAATCAAGACTTCATATTGGC